GAGTGCAGCAGCGAGAGGGGGCGCTTGAAGGGGGAGGGTGTGTGGAAGCACTAGACTCGCTGGGGTTTCCCTCAGTGCGCGTGGCCCACTGTGCCACCCCGCACGGGCTTGCAGTTTCCATGCCGAAGCGGGATGGGAGGGATGGGCAGGATGGGCTGAAGGGGGACAGGAGAGGGGGTGAGGAGGGCAGAGGAAGCAGAACAATGCGACGAGGCAAGCTGGTGGAGGGGCGAGGGGAGGAGCGAGTGCGGCGTGTGCTGTCTTTTACTGAGGGCAGTGTCCAAGAGAAGAGGCCATGTGGCGCTGCCGCTTATCATTGCACTGCTGCTGCTTCTGCCGCCGCCGCTGCTGCTGTTGCTGCTGCTGCTTCTGACGGTCCTCCCACGCGTCGCCCCTGCTCCTCCATCTCCTCCTCTGGTCAACTCACCACTGCCACGTCATCATCCCTGTCGTTCCGCCACCTCAGCATCACACCCCTCTCGCTCTCCTCACCAGCTAGCTCCATCCCCACGGGCTCTCACAACTTCGTAAACAGCACTCATCTCACCTACCCTGACTATCGTGACTGCCCTGAGTATCTTGACTGCCCTGAGTATCCTGACTGCCCTGACTGTTTCGACTACCCTGAACCCCCTCTCTCTGTGCGTTCCACTCACTCACTGCCCTCCACTCACTCTGTAACCGCTGCTCTTGCCTTCTCCCGCTCCAGGACTATCAGAGCTGCAAGTCTTCCTCCCGGTGCGGCAGCACTATCTGCAGCTACTAGAAGCGGCCCAATATTTTGAGAGTTACAGTGGATTCGAAGGCATCTCATTACTTCAATTTTTTAGACGTCTCAATTTCAAAACTAGTTACAGCAACTGAGGCGGCCTTGTATATCGAGAGCTTACTGTGGATTCAGATCATTAGTTGGATCAGCCGTCAGCTTCCGTTTGAATGCTGGCTGGCCCTCTGTGCCGGCTAGAATGCCTTGCATAAGGAAGTTTGGAGAGCTGAAGGGTTGCTGTGGAAAACATATATCCTTACTATTGTAATATGAAATCAACGGCAAGTTGGCTAGTTAGTTACTCGGCATCTGAGTCCCTTGAATTTTATGCTAATAACGAATTTTCTCTAAGTTCCACCCTTGACTTGCAATTCCGAAATTTGAGGATGTGAGAGCGGCTGCTAGACAGAAATTCGTTGAGGTATCAGTTTCGTTCCTGAGTCCCCGACTCGCCCGTGCTCTACCGTTTCAATCAATTTCATCCAGCGATGCATTACAGTTCGACTTCACTGTAGTCACATCACCTCGATGCAGCGCCTCTCACTGAGCGCCCTCCACCTCTTCACCTTCTTCATTACAATCCCCGTCTTTTCCGTTAGCATTAGTGTCGGCGCCGCTTCTGTCACCGATAATTCTGACGGCCAACGAGACGGCTGCACGTGCTACCATGTGCGAAACGATTTTTGCTGCCAGGCCGGCCAGATTCTCTGCTCCTGCCGGTCCGTCTGTTTTAACGGCGAGGCGTTCACGGGAGTCAGCTATGCGCCGTGCATTCAGCCAACGGACGGCTCAGATTCTCTACTTAATGACCAGACGACCCGAGCCGTTGATCCGCTCATTTCTATTGGCTGCATGGACGGACGCGGCAGATCGTACAAGGCCGCGCTGCGGCTTATAACGAAAGATAACATGCAGCTGCGCACAGAGAGGGGTAGGGCCAGGCGGAGGAAGCGGCGGAAGGGTAGAGGGAGGGGGAAGGGTGACGACGAACAGGAAGATGACACGTGGCAGGAGGGAACTTCGGCATTCTTGTTTTTGGACGACTCGGAAGGGAATATCGCGCATTTTGTGCGAAAAACACACAATCTCCTGCTGCTTCTAAATCAATCTTCCTCTTCCACGTCCTCCTCTTCTTCCTCCGCCTCCGCCTCCCCATCCCTCAGCCGCTCCCCTCTGCCTTTCCCCGTCCAAAGATTAGTTCTGATTAGATCTGCCGCGTTCAAACGAGTGGCCCAAGCGTACGGGGAACATGGGCTGCATGCGCAGTTGCTGGACGGCATTGTTCGTTTGCTAGTGGATTCAGGGAGCGTCAGTAGCTTTGGAAACAGTGGGGATTTGGCACACGGGAGAATGGATGGTGGGATGAAGCCTGCAGATTTTCTTGATGAGAGAACAACGGTGGCGATGGGAGGGGTGGTGAAGTTTGAAGGGTCTCTTGGGAATGCCACGAGGGAGCGACCTGTGTGCTTCGCCAACGCACTGTTCACCGGCAATCTCAAGGTGCACCGTTCACCGGCAATCTCAAGGTGCACTGTTCACCGGCAATCTCAAGGTGCACTGTTCACCGGCAAACCCAAGGTGCACTGTTCACCGGCAATCCCAAGGTGCAGTGAGAATGAGTGTGGAGGCACTTGAAGCATCCAGTAGCAATTGCTCACATTATGGAGCATAGAGAGGCAGCAGCTTCATACACCAACTGCTGTTCCTCTCTTTCCTCCTCTCAACCGATGCTCACTTCCTCCCCTCCCTTTCCCACTCCCCCTTCCCCTCCCCTTGTCTCTCGGCCAGGCATCAGCCTATCCAGGCACTCTCCCCCTGCTGCCCGCCCGCCTGCACTCCCACCTGCGCCACACCCTGCCACCTCCCAACCACCTCCCTCCCACCCTCAATTTCACCCCCACAGACACCTATTCTGCCTCCTCCCCCTCTTCTTCCTCCTCATCTCTCTCCTCTTCCACCTCCCCCTCTCCCTCTCTCCCCCGTCTCCTCTACATTCGTCGCACGGTCGGCACCAACAACAGCGCCAGCAGCCACTCCGCCCGGCGAGCGTTCGACCAATCAAGCGAGGCGGCCTTCCAGTCCCTCCTCTCGTCGCTGCCAGGTGTCGCCGTGCAAGTGGCGGATTTCGCCAGGCTGTCATTCGCAGAGCAGTTTGCCCTGGTACAAGGGGCGGACATCATTGTAGGGTTACACGGCGCTGGCCTCACTCTCGCTTCGGCTTTTAATCACGCACCCTCCACTGCTGCCTCTGCCACTTCCGCCGCCACCGCTGCTGCTGCGACTGCAACTGCGGGCCACAGTACCAGTGAACCCACTCCCCCACGCCCCACATTACCAGTGGTGGTGGAAATCCAACCGTACAAGGTGCAGCACATCATATTCGAGGGCATGGCCACGTCAGCAGGCGCGCTCTACCTGCTGCACCAGTGCCACCGCGGCCCCACCGACCAACCAGGCGACATCACGTTTGCACACGTCAGCAGGGAGGCGTGCCGGCGGCGGCTCGAGTGCCGGGACCATTTTGTCCAGTCGCGATTCGTGGAACTGACTCAGCACGACGTGGCGTCGCTCCGACGGTTGCTGGAGATGGCCCGGGATTTCGTTGCCGAGGGGCTGAGAGCAGCAGAGGCGGTTGCAGGAGGGACGGCTAGCACAGGCAAAGCGGGTAGCGATGATAATGCTGTCGGTGGTGAGAGGAGGGCTCTGCACTCGATAGCTCCCCACGCCCCTGCAGACACAGCAAGCGCCAGTGATTCACCCAAACCGAGAGAGGCCAAGGGACGGTCATGGGGGCTATGGGGTTTTCTCATGGGTGAAGGGAAAGGGGGAAGGCAGGCAGCAGCACAGGGCTCACAGCAGGGTGCAGTGGCAGATGCGGTGGGTGGGAGTGAGAGGCGTGCGCAACAAGTAGCTGGTAAAAGAGCAGGGCACACAGCTGATTCGCTGTGGGCTGGCATTAGGCAGGGCATGTATGGTGGAGGGAAGGGAGGAGGAAGGGAGGGAGGAGGAAATGAGAGAGGTAAAAGGGAGGGAGGAGGAAGTGAGAGAATGGGAAATGAGATAAGGGGAAGGGATTACATGGCAGGGGTAGCTCAAGTACCAGTAGCAGCGCTGCTTGTGCAATCACCACAAACACCAGTGGCAGCAGAAGCAGCGCTGCTTGTGCAATCACCACAAACACCAGTGGCAGCAGAAGCAGCGGTGCTTGTGCAATCAGCACAAACACCAGTGGCAGCAGAAGCAGCGGTGCTTGTGCAATCAGCACAAACACCGGTGGCAGCAGAAGCAGCGGTGCTTGTGCAATCACCACAAACACCGGTGGCAGCAGAAGCAGCGGTGCTTGTGCAATCACCACAAACACCGGTGGCAGCAGAAGCAGCACGAGCAGCACAAGCAGCACAGATAGAGTGGGTGAGGGGGTGGATGGAGGGGCAGTGTGGCGGGTGGATGAGTGAGACGGACAACAACTGCCGTGTGGAAGCCGTGCGATCGCCCCATTTGCGCCCGGGAGAGAGGTGTGTTCTTGCTGCTGACGACTGCTGACGCCTGCTCATAGCTGTGCAAGCAGCACAAGCACGAGAGGCTGGCAGCAGAAGGAGAAGAAGCAGCAGGGCTCAAGGAGTGGATGAGTGAGTGAGACGGACAACTGTTGCGTGGAGGCAGTGAGAGAGATCGCCCCATGTGCGGCCGGGGGAGAGGTGTGTGCTTGCTGCTGACTGCTAACCACTGCGGGCCACTGCTGCTGGCGCCACTTCGAATGGCTGCTTGCAGCTGGTCGGATATTAGTGTCTACAATGTCGAGAATTCCATAATTACGGTAGATGAAATTATATTATTATGGTACCGAAGCAGGTTCATTGGCATCGGTCGGTCCCTCGTCACATGTCTGATATGCGACAACAATTCTGAGGATACGCAACAAGAGAGCTGCCTCCAACTGCATGGCGTTGTAATAAAGCTTCTGCGTAAAGCTTTTGTAGAAACCCTAATAAACAATACATACCAATCTGTTTCTCATAATAGCTTCTGCAGTACAGGTAGTACAAGTCAAACAGAGACACCAACAGCACCAGTAGAAAAGCACATGAACGCCGCCGAGGTACAAAGAAAGCACGGAGTCAGGTAAACTAAGCTGCCACAGCTGCCACTGGCTGATTCTGTCCCATAAACCCCCAGCCCTCCCCTCTCCCTCCACCCTCCCTCCCCCCTCCTCCCTCTCCCTCCTCTTTCTTCTCTATCGCCGATCTGTCTTCCCAGCGCCTCTCTTTCCCGAGAACAGGTGCTTGGGTCGCACGTTCACAATCGTGCGGTCCGCCTCGCCCTTCCTGCTCTGCACATTCCGCTTCTTCGCATGCTTCCGCGCCAGCTGAATCGCCCCCACCTTCTGCTCCGTATCCCTGAACCCCTCCCCAGGCACCGCCTCCGCAGCCAGCGCCGCCGCCGTCCCGCCTATCCTCCCGCGCGACTGCGACCGCGATCGCGACATGTGACGAATCCTCTTCCTCAACCTCTCCTCGTTCCCCTCATCCAACTCCATCCCCTCCTCCCCTTCCTCCCTCCCTTCCCTCCCCTCCCGCTTCCCTTCCCGGCCCCGAGAAACCCCCCGTCTCCCTCTCCCCTCCTCCCCATCCACCTCCATGCCATCTCGCGCCATCGACCTGCTCCTCTTCCTCCCCTTGGCCACCGTCCCACCGCCACTAACATCCCCACCTTCTCCTGTCTTGCCGGCCTTGATACGGGCGAGGGCAGCCGAGGGGTCGAGGCCGATGGAGGAGAGCTCCTGCCGCATGCGCTCTGCTGTGAACTGCCGCCCCGTGTCCGCGTGGCGCGGCAGGATTGGCCGGGAATCTGTCACGCTGCGCTGGCGGTGGCGGTGGGTGATGAGACGCTTCTTCTTCAGCCTGATGTTTGGGGGAGGGGGGGAGAGGGAGAGGGGAGGGAGAGGGAGAGGGGGGGAGCGCGCAAGGCGGTGGTGAGCAAGGAACAGAGGACATGTTTTGATGCGTCTTAAAACGTGACAAGCCAAATACCAGTGGCGGTGAGTGACCGGGCGCTGTTTTTTCAGCCTGGTGTTCGGGAGAAGGGAAGGGAAGGGGAGGGGAGGGAGAGGGGGGGCAGAGGGCGGCAAGCGGGGAACAGAGGACACGTTATAAAATGTTTCAATCCCCGGAAACCAGCCGCCCCATCTTTTGAACCCCCAATCCCCCATCCCCCAAGCCCTCCTTAACCCCCCACCTGATTGCCGCCATCGCCTCAGCCTCCTCCGGAGCCAAGTCGTCCTCCTTGTCCTCCATGGCCTCGCACCACTCGCCCCCACCCTCAACCCCCAAGCTTCAGGCCCCAAGCTTGCAGCCCCCAGCCCCCAGCCCCCAGCTCACCTGATAGCCGCCAATGCTTCGGCCTCCTCTGGCGCCAGGTCCTCCTCCTCATCATCCATCGCCTCGCCCCACTCGCCCTCACCGACCCCCTCCGCCTGCTGCTCCATCTCCCACTCCTCCCGCTCCAGCTCCTCCAACTTTGCCAGAATATCCGCATCCACGAAATCCGCAATGTTCTTCCCGTCCATGATCTCCGGCACCACGTCGTGCCGCCACGTGTCGTCGCCCAACAGGTACGGCCGCGTGTGGTCCGCCACGTAGGCGCCCGCGCCGCCCATCTCCTCTTGATAGTCCTTCTCCAGCTTGCGGCCTTCGGATGGCTTGATGCCCTTGGCCTGCCGGTCCAGCACGGCTTGCGGGATGACTGGCGGGCGGGGTTTGTTGTCACGCGGGCGCGGCATGGCCACGTGGATTCGGTTCGCCACGTCTTCAACCCTCTTGCTGCGCATCTTGGCCTCCACACGCATCTGATATGAGGTACGGGAAGGAGGGGAGAGGAGAACGGACGGGACACAAGGATGGTTGGCTGGCGACACTTGCTTGCAATACACAACAGCCTAGTCTATCCTCCTATCTCACCTGCACCACACAACACCCTACCAGCACCCCATCGTCCCACCCACCTGCAGCAGTTGTTCGCAAGCAGCGTTTTTGAGAGCAGCCACATTGACATCAGTCATGGTGCTCATTGTCAGCAGACACACCCCGCAGCCCCCCTGCAGCACACACAGCACGCACCGACCTACCTACCAACCAGCACCCTATCCAATATCGTCGCACCTGCAGCAATCGTTCGCACGCAGCGTTCTTAACAGCAGCCACATTAACGTCGGTCATGGTGCTCATTGTCAGCCCACACACCCCGCGCCCTCACACACAGCAACACACACAGAGGATGCAGCAAGCACCCTACCAGCACAACACCCCATCATCGACCCACCCACCCACCTGCAGCAGTCGTTCACATGCGGCGTTCTTGACAGCAGCCACGTTAACATCAGCCATGGTGCTGGCGCGGTCTACCCCCATTGTGAGCAGCAGATACCGTGCGCCCTCACATCACACACAGCACAGCACACCCCCAGCATGCAGCACCCACCAGCACCCTATTAGCATCCTACCCTGTCAACACGCCTGCAGCAGTCGTTCGCTTCGCAGGAAGCATTCTTAACAGCAGCCACGTTGACGTTAGTCATGGTGCTCATGGTCAGCAGACACCCCGTGCCATCACAGCACACACAGCATGCATGCACTCACCCTTCCACCATCCCATCGTCTCCCACCTACCTCCACGTCACACCCACCTGTAGCAGTCGTTCACATGCCGCATTCTTAACAGCAGCCACATTGACATCAGTCATGGTGCTCATGGTCAGCAGACACCCCGTGCCATCACCGTCTCCCATCACCGCCTCCATCCCCCCCTCCCCTCCCTCAGCAGCAGCAGGAGGAGCGACGCCGGGGCCGCCGCAGCGGGCGGCTTTAGCCGCCATGTCTTGAATGATCTTCCTGTCGGCTTCGGAGAGGGTCTCAAGCGGCTGCAGGTCCACCTTGTTGCACACCACCAGCAGCGGCTTGTTCAGGAAGAGGGGCTGTTTGTAACGCGGATAGATGGGATGGGCATGGGCGAAAGGGTTTGGAACGGAGAAGAGGGGGAGGGTGAAAAGGAGAAAACGGGGAAAGGAGGAGCAATGCCAGGGCCGCCGCAGCGGGCGGCTTCAGCCGCCATGTCTTGAATGAACTTCCTGTCCGCTTCAGAGAGGGTCTCGAGTGGCTGTAGGTCCACCTTGTTGCAGACGACCAGTAGCGGCTTGTTCAGGAAGAGGGGCTGTTTGTAACGTGTATGGGTAGAATGAATGTGGGAAAAAGGCAGGGGGATTAGGGAGAAAAATGGGGAAGAGGAAAAGATAGGAAGGTGGGGAATAGAGGAGGAGCAATGCCGGGGCCGAAGCAGCGGGCGGCTTCAGCCGCCATGTCTTGAATAATCTTCCTGTCCGTTTCGAGAGTGTTTCCAGCGGATGTAAGTCCACCTTGTTGCACACCACCAGCAGCGGCTTGTTCAGGAAGAGGGGCCGTTAGTAACGCGGATGGGAGTGGGATGGAGATGGGCGAGAAGGTTTGAAATGAGGAAGAGGGAGAGGATGAAAAGAGAAAACGGGGAAATCAGGGGTTGGAAACGGAAGAAGCGGGAAGGAGGCAATTTGAACCGAAAGAAGCTACAGATCAAGCACAGAACAGGTAAAGTGGGTTAGGCTAACCTTGTAAAAACTGAGACGACTTTTGAGGCGCCTCAAAAGTCGGCAAGCCTTGTAAAAACTCGCTGAGCTTGTTACCTTGTCACCTTTCCTCTGTTTAGCGAGTCACCTTATTACCTCTTTTCAGCGTGCCACTCACCTTAATGGAGCTGATTAGTGCAGCCTGCTGCTCGAGCGTATACCCGCAGCTGCCAGACGCATCCACCGCAAACAGCACGGCAGCTACTGGGCTTGGTACGTTAACTTGCATCCCTTGTAGCCTTCACTGCCTGCTCACTGACCTTGATGGAATTGAACAGCGCTGCCTGCTGCTCCAGAGTATACCCACAGCTGCCAGACGCGTCCACCACAAACAGCACGGCGGCCCTCAGGTGCGCCAGGGCCGTCACGGCGAGCATCTCAATGGTGTTGCGCTCCTCTAGCGGATGGTCCAGGATACCGGGCGTGTCGATCACCTGTGAGGGAGAAGGTGAAGGGGAGGCGTCAAGGCAACGTGAGGGTGGGTTTTGAGAGGGACAGGACCGCGACGGCGAGCATCTCAATGGTGTTGCACTCCTCCTGTGGATTGTCCAGCATACCGGGGGATGGGTTGCCAGGAGGAGAGGGCGGACGCGGAGGCATTAAGAGGAAGGAAGCAAGCAGGGGTGAGTGTCGTCTCAGATGTGAGTGAGTGGCAGGGCCGTCACGGTGAGCATCTCCACAGTGTTGCGCTCCTCCAATGGATGGTCCTGAGTGAAAGGGAAGGGATGCAGGCAGCAGCACGTGGAAGGGAAGGGAAGGGAGGGAAAGGGAAGGGAGGGGAAGGGAAGGGAGGGGAAGGGAAGGGAGGGGAAGGGAAGGGAGGGGAAGGAAAGGGAGGGGAAGGGAGGGGTCAAGGGGAGCGCAGTAGTCGCATAACAGCAGTCAACCAGCAGAGCCCAGCGCAGATGCCCGCACAGCCCACCATTTCCCGCCAGCGCGCGCACCTGCCAAGCAGGCAGGCAGGTACCCCACCCACAAAACCCAGTCCTCCCCTTGATGGACATCACTTTTGAGAATTCTCATTTTTTAGAATTACTCTTGAGAATTCTCAAAAGGTACCCCACCCACAAAACCCAGTCCTCCCCTTGAAACGCCCAATTCGCCACATCATACCCACCTGCCAGCGCAGGCCCTCTATTCCCTCCCAGACCATCACACCTGCCAGCGCAGGCCCTCTATTCCCTCCCAGACCATCACACCTGCCAGCGCAGGCCCTCTATTCCCTCCCAGACCATCACACCTGCCAGCGCAGGTACTTGTAGTCCGTGTGCCCCACGAAGAGAGACTTGGTGGTGAAGGCGCACGGCTGTACCTCCACGTCAGCGCGCGTCACCCCACCTTGCTGCTCACCACCCACACCACCCAAACCTACCCCACCCCACCGCACCCCTCCACACCGCACCTGCCAGCGCAAGTATTTGTAATCCGTGTGGCCCACGAAGAGAGACTTGGTGGTGAAGGCGTAGGGCTGCACCTCCACATCCGCGCGCGTCACCTTGTTCACGAACGAGCTCTTGCCCACGTTCGGATACCCGCACACCAGGATCGTGCGCGTGTTGGGGTCAATTGATGGGAGGCGGGACATGTGCTGCCGCACCTGCAGGAAGATGAAGAGGAGGCACAGGGATCAAGTCATACAGCAGGCCTAAACGAGCGCTTGCCCACGTTCGGATACCGCCACCCGAGGATGGTGCGCGTGCTGGGATCAATGGAGGGCAGGCAGGCGCGACATGTGCTGCTGTTCCCAATGTGTAAGGTAAGGAGGACGGGAGAGAAATGAGGCAGGGCAACGCTTAGAAAATTGCACAGTGGGATGGGCGGGGGCGACATGTGCTTGCGCACCTGGTGCAGAAGTGGGTGCGATCGAGGGGCTCTACTTGCGGAGCATACTGCCCGATCATTCGTTCAAGTGAAACAAGTCAACGCACATGCTCCAGTCAACGCACCTGCTCCAGTCAACGCAGTCAATGCACATGCTCCAGTCAACGCACCTGCTCGAGGTACGCGAGCGAGGGGCCCTGCTTGCGCATGAGCGTGCACATGCGGCCGAGCGCGGCGCGCTTGAGCTGCTTGCAACGGTACAGCGAGTCGCCATACTTGAGCAGTCGCACGTACTCCTTGGCGATGCGGTCGATGATTCCGCGCGCCACGTTCACCTGCGAAAACGGAGGGGACGGGGGAGGAGAGTGGAGGGGAGGGGGGTGGGGGGGAGAGGAGGGGGGGAGGGAGAGAGAGAGGCGAGGGTTTAAAAATTTGCAACAGTTGAGTCGTCGTTCTTGAGAAACCGCACGTACTCCTTGGCGATGCGATCGATGATGCCCCGCGCCACGTTCCCATGAAAAGAGAAAAGGAAAAAAAAAGGGGGAATGGATAACCTAAATAAACTCTTTGGGTATCTATCACGAGCTATCAAGGACTGCGCACATCCAGAGAGGCAACGAATCTAGCTATTCACGCTCCTTGCGCTCCCGCCGTCCCTGCGCAAAACCTTGCTTTCACCCAAACCCTCCACCCCAAACCCCGGCGTCGTTCCTCCTCCACCCTTCTCCTCGTCCCTACATCCCATATTACCTGTCCAAGCGCGAACTTGTAATGGTCCTTATCGTAAAGGACATTAAGGAAGTGTGTGCGTAAAACCCCCCTCCTCCCAATCCACCCGAAACCACGGCGCAGTTCTACCTTCCCTCCTTCCTCATTCCTCTATCCCTTACCTGCCCGAGCGCAAGCTGGTAGTGGTCCTTATCGTAAAATACATTAAGAAGGTCACCAAACCCTCCAACCTTAACCCCGGGCGTGGTTACTCCTTCTCCGTTCCCCTTCTCCCTCCATCCCACATTGCGTTACCTGTCCGAGCGCGAGCTTGTAGTGATCCTTATCGTAGAGGACATTAAGGAGGTCGCCATAGAACGGATGAATCTCCTCGAGGCGCGGAAAGTCGTCGAGAATCGTCGTGAGCTTGTCGTGGAACGTCTGCTGCGTGAACTTGACCTTGCGCATGTAAAACTGACGGATTCTGTTAACGGCGCTGCCCTTGTGGATCACCGTCGGCGTGCCGCGCTGCGTTTTGGACAGAACAATGTCGACAAAGTCCTTGGCGGTGGGGACCACCGTGATCCGCTTGAAATTGTACTGCACCATCGTGTCGGTCTAATAGGCCGGATCGGAGGGACGAAAGTACGGTGTTCGAGACGCCTAAAAGTCGACGGACGAGATTGATCGAGAACTTCTTTGGAACAATGCCCGCTCGGGTTGCAAACGGACGGACGAGCGAGGAGGAAGAATTAAGCAAAGCGATAGAAGGAGAAACTACTGCTCCCTGGATGCTCGCGATTCGCAATTCTCGAACCGCCTTTGCTACAGCTTCCGTGGAGAGCGGCAGCAAACAGGCAGTTGTCTATGGAAGGCCCGAAGACATGCGAGCAGAAAAGGAGCAACATGAAGCTGGCTGAAAACCCTAAATGCCGAGCTGGAAGGAGCGGAGTTCTAGTGAGCAGTCATAAACGCGTACGTTATACAAGATCTGTTATAGGTGTGACCGGCAGGTGGATAATATTTGAAGTATGATTGGCAGGTGATCTACGCACAAACACTTTCTGATTATTCGAACTGGTATTGGCAGATCATGTGTGCTAACAAACGTTACTGAATATTCAGCATAAATCGGCTAGCTTAGCAAGCGACCACAATTTCTGCACGAGCTGGTAGTCAAGATTCAGGAAAGCAAAATTGCAAAATTGGACAAACCCAAAAAAAAGGCTCCAGCAAATCCAGCACACCAGAAGCCGCCTAACTAGACCGTGCCTGTACAAGCCCACCGACCTTGCTCCTCCCTTTAGAGCCACCTAAAGCACACGCATACGCCACACTCTTGCCCCCACTTGTCACCATCACCACAACGCTTCCAGCCATCCCTCCGCTCACCTCTTCCTCTTCCCCACCTTTTCCCATCTGCCCCGACTTCACTCGGCCTGACCCCCCAGCCCCACCCGCCCCAGCAAACCCTGCAGCGAATTCCCTCGTCCCACTTTGGAAAAAACTTCCCATGCTGCTTGCATCAAAGCCCGAGAGAATCGACACTACGACCGGTTCAGGCTGTGTGAACGCGCTCTGCTGGCCAAACCCACTCTGCTGCTGACCAGGTACTGCAACCGGAACTGACCGAATCGGACTCCCCTCAGTAGTTGCGTTGTGTTCCGAGCTGCTGTTCATGTCAACACTTGATGTACTGCTGCCACCACTACTGCTCCCCCCAATCGACAGCCCATCAGGTGTCGTGCCTGAACTGGCAGAGTCCCGAGAGGGGGGCAGGAGCGGAATGGCCTGGTTGGAGTCGGGCAGAGGAATGGCCTGCTTGGACGCTGGCAGCTCGTTCAAATACCGCCTCCGCAGGAACATGCGGCGCGACAACACTGGCACAGGCACAGGCAGGAAGGGCTCTTTGCTGACCTCCTCAGTTACCCCGCTGCTGCTGGTGGTGGTTGTTGTGGTGGTAGCTGTGGCGGAGTTGAGACGTGAGGAACCTGGACTGTGGTTTTCACTGCCTCTGCGTCTCTCTGTGGCACTGGAGTTGGCACGGCTGCTGCCCGCACAGCCACCTGATGAGTTCATCTTGCTGCTGCTGCCATTGCTGGCCCCTGCGTGTGTCGTTGACTCTCCTGTCTCATCCTGTGCCTCTCCCTGCTGCGCTTCTTGGGTTGGCTGGGAGTCAAACCGGAAAAGCTCCGTGCAAGTATGCGACTGAAACAGAGGGCCTGTACAACACAATATCGAGCAGAGTGGGTGGTGTGGGGAGGGGAGGTAGAGGAGAAGGGCAAAGTAGCGTGATTCCTCATGATCAGGCGAAAGAGGGATGAAATGACTAAAAGAGGTAATGTGAAAACTGACTATCAGATCGACTCCGGAATCAGGCTATATGTTGCCAATGCGAACCCCCACCTACCCTGTCCTCCTGCACCCCCCTCACCTGAGCTATGCTGCAGCAGCCACTGCTGCCAGTGCTGCTGATCCCATGGCAACGAGCCCTCCACTGCTGCTGCTCCTGGTAACGCACCCGCCACCCGACCACCACCACTGGCAACCCCAGCTCTCAGCCCCACAGAGGCACTGCCACCTCTGCCACCGCTGCCACCACTGCCACCGCTGCCACCACTGCCACCGCTGCCACCACTGCCACTCCTCCCACCTCGCCCAGCGCCTGCAGACTGGCTTTTGAGTGTGCTTGCAGGTGACCAATGGCGCCAAGGTACAAGCGCCTTGCCTGCCGCTCTCTCTCCCTCTGCTGCATCCCTGCCTTCCCTAGGCCGATCGCCTGTGGCCCTATCTGCTGTGGTCCTGTCTGCTGGAGCCCTGCCCGCCGTGAGATTGGGCACCTGGCCGCGTGACACTGCGGCGAAGGCAGGGAACCGCTGCTGCTGCTGCCTGTCAGCCGCGTGCTGCTCCACGCGAGCGCCCGCCACCACTTTCTCTCTCCACTCTGGGTTCAACGCAGACGCGTGCACAGAAGACGAGTGCAGATCAGACGATTTCAGATCAGACGAGTCCAGAGCACGGCTCTGAAGCTGCTGTGCTACGCTCATGCTGCCATTCCCCCTGCCCCTCCACCACATACCCAGTCCGTCCCCTCCCACAGTCTGAACCCCCGTTGGACCCCCCTCCTCCTCCTCCCCCAGACCCAGCAGCACCCGCCCTCCGGGCCTCAACACCCCACCCCCTCCCAATCCCCCTCCCCACTCTCCCCCCTGCGCTACCCCTCCCCTCCCCTCGCCCCTCTGAGAGCAACCGCCCCACCAACGCCATCCGTCGCGCCTGGCCCGGCTCATTTGCTCCCAACTGCCGGCCCCGCTTCCCTGCCAGCTCATAATACTGCTCCGCCAGCCTGGATAAGCTGGCGCCACGCCACGCGTCAGCCCGTCGTTGGGTGGCAGGAAGGGGCAGAGGATGAGGAGGAAACCGAACATGGCGAGGGCGAGGGCTGGTGCTTTGGCTGAGGAGACAGCACGCGGTGGGGAAGAGGGTCTACCAGGCGAAGAATCAGTTGCAGCAGGTGCAGTAACCACAGCACCCGCAGTAACCACACACGCATCCCCTTCCTTTTTCTGCTTCTTCGCGCCCCTGTCCTTTTCCCCCAAGCCCCCGCCCGCCTTCGCGCCACTCCCCTCAGGCGCGCCTTTCTTCTTGCGCGCGGATTCCGGGCGGCTCACGTTCTTCAGCTTCGGAATCGGGACAGGCGGAGCAGGGGGGAACAAACCACGTAACCCTAACGCCCCGAGTGGTAACCCTACGCCCCCAAGGCTTCCAATCCCTGCCAACCCTCCCAGGATCGGAGGGACAAGGCCAGGCGAGACTGCGCTAGGAGGCGCTACAGCGGCTGCTACCGTACCTCCCCTTCTGCGTCTACCCGAGCCTCGTGCCGGGCCTGATGCGGCTGTTCCCGAACCTAACGCACCCACCGACCCTGGAGCAACTACTCCAGTTCCAGCTGCTGCAGCGGCAGCGGCAGCGGACGCGGCGGAAGGGGAGGAGTAGAAGAAGGCGAGCTGGCGGCGGAGGCTGACGTTCTCCGCGGTGAGATGCGCCACGGCGGAGTTGAGCTCCGCCACCGCCGCGGACATGGTGCGGATCTGCGCCTCCAGCTCGTCCATGTAATACTGCCGGGGGAAGAAAGAGAGGGGAAGGTGGGGGGAAGCGGGGACGGGGGGTGGGTAGGTGGCAGAGGAAAGGGGGAAAGGGGTGGGGAGAGAAGGCAGGGGAAGAGGTTCAAGTTTTACAGAGCGTGCTGCAGGATCGACGATCCAGACGTCAACTGGCTGAATTGCGCACGGACGAAACCCGACGTTGATCAAACGGGAGGCGATGCAACTTACCTTCTTCCTTTGCCGCGACAGTTGCGCGCTCTCCCGGTTTCTGATCAGCCTCGCCTCCCGCTTCTCCGTCTCCGGATCCCTCCCCTCCCCCTCCCCTTCCCCTTCCCCTTCTCCCCCCTCCGCGCCCGCATCCCCCTCGCTCGGCTCGCTGCCTGCATCTTCCGCCGCAGCGCCGCTCCCGCCACCAGCAACCGACCCCCGCGCCTCTGCTCCCCCGCTTTCGCACTCCTTTTGAACGTTCTCTGTGCCAGCACTTGCGGTTCCAGAGGAAAGGCCGCCGTTTGCAACCGCACACGTGGCAGCATCCTGTGGCGTGGTAATTTGGAAGGAGGCTGGTGAAGTCGTAGGGAGGGGGAGAGTTGGGTTCGAGCATGGAGCGGGATGGTAACCCGCTGATGCACCACCCACCCATGCTGTATTCCCATGCTGCTGCTTCTGTTGCTGTTGCTGCTGCTGCTTCTGTAATTGCTTCTGCTGCCGCTGCTGCCGGCGCTGCTGCTGCTTCTGCAAGCGATACTGCTGCTGCTGCTGCTGCTGCTGCTGTTGCTGTTGGAAACACGAACTCACGGACCCCGGAAAAGGCACACCCTGTATTGGAACACTTTGCACAGCGAATGGGGCCGCCACGTGCTGCTGTTGCTGACCAAATACCGTTTCCTGCTTCACCGAGCTCTCAGGAAACTGAGACGACGGAAGGATCCCGGGGTATAATCCGCCAGTACTTGACACCCCGTTTATATTCGACGGAGGGATAGCGGCGCAGGACGGAGCAGCAGCAGCAGCATACGGAACTGCTGACATGGCACTTGACTGATGCCACGGACTCCCAATCTGGCTGCTCCCTTCCTTACAACCACCGCTCCCACAATCGCCGCTCCTACAATCACCACTGGAACAGTCGCCGTCGCTGCTGCCGTCAGCGCCATGGCTACCTCCTTGCACCAGATACGGCAGACCGTGATCGTTGACGGACGCTAACGGTTCAGGTGACGACCGGCCGCTAGGAGGCGTATCGATGAGCACCGACCCACCGGCTGTGCGAATATCGCCACCTTCATCGCAGAAAAGCGCGTCGGTAGTGTTTAACGGAAACGGTTCGCTAAACGGCCGGTTTCCAAGTTCCACGTCGACTGCTGCTGCTGCTCCGTCCTGCGGTGTGGTAGTGTTGTCGCGAAACGGCTCTAGCATATCGTTTGATAGGTTGGCAAAAGCTGAAATATCGATGTCCGCGAGAGGCACGGTTGATGAATCGAGTAAGAGCGACGCCCACTCGTCGTCCATGAACGTGTTCTGTTCCTCCATAGCTGGGCTTGACTGAACGCGATCTGGCAGATACGCCATTGAACCGTAGTCAACTCTCGATTCCATCAACTTTAGCCCAGCATCCCTAAACACTGCAACTCAACTCGGAAACAGACTTCCCACCCGTGAGTTCCCAAGGCAAAGAAGCACGATGACACTATGACAGGGAGAAATAAATGCTGCTTGTATGGAATTCCCAAGGTCAACGAGAGATGCATTGTGGAGTGGCAGAAAGTAGGGGTGTGGGTGTGGGGGAGATGGACAGACGGACGGAGGGGTCACTTCTGGAAAGCTAGACGATGAGGTCTTGCCGCGTTCAGGCTTGGCTTGGATGATGACCGAACCTGCGACTGGTAGCAGCGCACGTGGTTAGGAACACGGGTCTTCTGCTTCACCGTGTGGCCGATTTTCATGCAGCTCAATCCGACGAACACCGGCGGACCACATCGTCTGACCAACCAGCGGTGGGCGTGGTCGTTCTCGTTCAACAGCTTCACCTTCTCGCAGCTTCCACGCACAAACCGTCTGACACAGAGATCCAAACCACACAGGTGTGGTGGAGCAACCGTCCATTGGTCATCATTATCGCCGGTTCGGCAGGGGTTGCCTAGTAGCAGACGAAAGTTTCGTGGTTCGGTTTGTTTGCCAGGGAGGAGGAACCTCCAGAGCTAAACGGTTTTTCCGCCAGCCAATCGGTCAGGTAAAAGTGGTTGATGTGGAGAACGGAACTGTAGTCGAGTGTTGTTTTTTTCATGAAAACGCATTACTCCATAACGCGAATAAGATCCCCCCCCCGGTCAGAAGACTTCCCTGTTCTGGCTGCAAAAACGGTGGAAGGAATTTGGTGTAGGGCTTTTCTCAGCCACCGCTGGCAAGAAAAAGAAATGTGGTGCAAATTCACATGACGCTGATGATTGTAGCAAGTGCAGGCTCGGGATGCTTTGCATTCTTTGGCGATGCCGTCTCGTCCGGCATCGGTAGGATCACTCGGAGAAGAGTTAGAAAAATTAGCTTGCGGGACTTGCTAGAGCTGATGAATTCGGTATTGTAGGAGTACTGGCAGCAGCCACGTTGGAATATCCCCGTAATATGCAACTATATCAAGTGGGACTCAATGGGGACCTCGCAGCCGTCCCTGATTGCACCTCCTTTTCCTCCTCAAAACCCTTCCGTATCGCCGTATCTCGCTGCGTTAGCCCTCTCTTCCCCCTTCCTATCCGTTAACGACGAAGATGTTATTAGCGAGGACGGATCCACGCTCCTGTCCCCCGCTCTTGCTTCCCCCGCTGCGCCGATCTTCCGCTGCCGCTTCCGCACGCCGCTGTTCGGCTGCGTGGCGCTGGACGCGGTGCAGCGGGAGGTGCGCGGACGGCGCGAGCTTGCGGAACGGGGAGCGCTGCAGGCGCAGGGGGAGCGGGGGCGGAAGCAGCAAGAGGGGAAGCAAACGGCTGCGCAAGACAGGCGGATACCGACGCAGGAAGGGAGAAGGGAGAAGGGGAAAGATCAGCAGTGGCGGGGAGAGGAATCGACAGCGGAGGGAGAGGAGGCAGCGCGCATCAGCCACGATCTTGCCATGTTTGTTGGAGGGCCAATCTGGGCCGTTGATTGGTGCCCTCTCCCTCGTTACAGTCACACTCAGTACCTCGCCGTCGCCTGTCACCCCCATCTGCGCCCGTTCTCCCCTATTGGCGTCCCCCTGCACGGACCTGCGCTGGTGCAGGTGTGGGCGGTAAGACTGACGGAGGGGATCGAGGAAGCGGAGGGGGAGGGCGAGGGGGATGGGGAGGGGGAAGGGGAGAGCGCAGAGGGGAATGCGCCCTGGTGGATGCTGGCGAGCGGAAGGGGCAGGGGGAGAGGGGGGCGGGGGGAGGGGGAGAGGGGCGGGGAGAGGAGGAGAAAGCGGGAGAGGGCGAGGAAGAGGGAGGGGGAGGGGGAGGGGGAGGGGGAGGGGGAGGGGGAGGGGAAAGGGTGGGGATGCTAACAGCGGAGAAGGAGGAGGTGTTGGAGTGAAGAGGCAAGAAGGTGTTGGGGGGAGTGTTGTAGGAGTGAAAAGGAAAGCTGGGGATGTGGGACTCGGTTCGCGAGGGTGGGAGGGGGTGGAATGGGATGGGAGGGAGAGAGAGGTGGAGGTGAGATGGGAGAGAGGGCTGGGTGGGGATACAGGGAAAGAGTCTGTAGGAGGAGGAGGAGGGGGAGGAGGAGGAGGAGGAGGAGGGAGAGAAGAAGAGGCAGATGGGGAGAGAGAGAGAGGGGAGGGCCCCAGGCGCAGATGGTGCTGGGGATTGCCCACCAAGGCGGACTCAGTCGCTGTGCCAGGTGGCGGCCGCTGGTTGGCAGGCGAGACGGCAGGGCAGGCCAAGGAGGAGAGGAGGATAGTCTTGGGTCGCTGGCGACTGCAATGGGAGATGGCACAGTGGCAATGTGAGTTGTGAAAGCAACAGTAATTATCGTGTTGAGGCACTCCACAACAAGTTTATAATCACAGGGCAGGCCAAGGAGGAGAGGGCGGCAGTCTTGGGTTGCTGGCGGCTGTGCTGGGAGATGGCACTGTGGCAATGTGAGTTTGTGAGATTGGGGGTTGTTTGTGGCACTGAGCGGACCCAAAAGTACATTCCTCTCCATCCTTGTTGCTACTCTGGTTGCAGTCGTGTGGATTTTCCATCTCCCTTTTGCAGTCGTGCTTTGGCAATAAGCCTCTATCGCTGCTCCTCTCGCTGCTCCTCTCCTGCTTCCCGATTCCCCACGACCAGCTATCACGTGCCTCTGCCACAGCGAGACAACACCGGAAGGCAAAGCAGCGATCGGCTGCAGCAGAAGGAGCACCGAGATCACCAGAAGCACCAGAATGAGCCGACGTCATCGCTGCTCCAGCCAGCTCCACACGGCCCTCTGCTCGCCCTGCGGCCCGTCTTCCAGTGGAAGTCCAACCCGGCCCATGGCCCCACCAGGTGACCTTTGTCGCATCTCAAAAGTCGTTTCTAACTGCAAGTCCAACCCAGCCCATGGCCCCACCAGGTAAGACTTTTGAGGCGCCTCAAAACAAAACTAGTCCCTGCAGCCCGTCTTCCAGTGGAAGTCCAACCCAGCGCATGGCCCCACCAGGTAAGAACCTGGGAGTGACCATCATGGGCAAGAAGGTAAAAGGGTGGTGTTTGAGATGCTTGCCCCTTGGACTTTTCTCACCACATGGCCGGTCGGCACATGCATCAGTAGATGGGTCATTCTCCAGTGGTGTTTACACCCATCCCATCTCATGGCCGGTTGGCCGTTTGGCCGGTTGGCTGGTTGGCCAGTCGGCCGGTTGGCCGTTTGGCCGTTTGGCTGGTTGGCCGGTTGGCGGTCCCACCCAACCCACTGCATGGATGGACCCGCATATGTGCCACTTATTTCGTGACGATATCAACCACGTGGCGCCAAAGACGCGGCGCCAAACACATACCTTCCGTCAATCCCAAATCCACCCTTCACGTTTGTCGTCTCTCTCTTGCTCTCTCTCTTCCTCCCTTGCCCTTGCTAAATGTCCTGACCCTGTCCCCTTCTACTAGGCTTCCCTGTGAGCTCGCGTGGAAGGTGGATTCAGCTTCGCATGCCTCGTCATCATCTCCTGCCACACCGTGCAGCCCAAATCGTGCCACCGACTTGCTTGCTGCTGGCTTCCAGGATGGTTCCGTCCGTAATCACCCTTCCCACCGCCTTTAGCACTTGCGCGTTTACCTCCTGACTTGGTTGGCTTGCTCTGATTGTTCGCATGGCAGCTACCAGCTCTCATACGTCCCAATACTTGTCTGTTTTTGTGGCAAATTTAGTCTACCTTTAGTCTCTGCTCTTGCATAAGCATTCACCATTCTCTGCGCGTTAATTTCCCATGATACAATGAATAGTTGGTTTCAGGCTTTGTGTGTTTACCTGCTTTGTTTTTCCTTCTTAAACCTTGCTGTTGTTGGTTTTGGTGTGACGAATGGACCTCTTGTTCTCAGACTCACTTCAACTCTCCTCCCCTCCCTCTCCTCCTCCGCTCCTCAGGTGCTCGTGTGGCGGCTGCGACTTGATCACCTCACAGCCAATACGCCAGCATCACCAACAGCAACCAGCCAGTTCTGGAAAATTCTCAGAAACCACCGTCCTTAACCTCTCCTCTCCTCTCTCACCATCTCCCTCCCCACTCCTCAGGTGCTCGTGTGGCGGCTGCAACTAGATCACCTCACAGCCCATACGCCAGCACCACCATCAGCACCAACAGCAGCACAAGCACCGCCAGGATCCAAGGCACAGAAGCCACAACTGGCACCTGCTGCACCACCACCGCCCCTCTCACACAACCCCATCCTGTCGTTCCGTGCGGATTCATCTCTCATCCGCTCCCTCGCCTGGCTGCCTGCGCCCTTGCAACCTAGATCCAACACGTTTTCACTCACTGCTGCTGTGAGGTTACAGAGAAGAGGGAGGAGGGACGGGCAGGAGGCAAGGAACGGTAAGCATTGGGGTAAGGGGAAGGAGGAAAAGGAAGTGGATGACGAGGAGGGAGAGTATGGAGAGGAGGAAGAGGATGCGGAAGGGGTAGTGGAAGAGGAGGAGGAGGAGTTGGGATCCGACGAGAAGGAGGAGAATGATGGGGAGACGGCGGTGGATGAAGGAGAGGAGAGCACCGTGCTGATTGTGGGCAGCCAATCGGGCATCTTAAAGTTCTGGGACCTCAGGTGAGGCGCGGTGCAGTGCGGTGCAGTGAGATGCAGTGAGGTGAGGCGCAGATAATTGCCGGTGGGGGGATGTGGGTGGGGGGGGAGCAATGGTGTATGTATATGTCGTGTCATGCAAATCAAGATCTTGTTGCTTTGCAAGTTGCAACACCTTCAGTCAACATGCAACTGTGTCACTGTTGTGCTTTTTGGACTGCTTGTCTTCGTGTCCCAACCTCTGTCATGTCACTGTGTGCATGCTGCCATGCTGCCATGCTACCTACCATGCCACCCGGCCACCATGCTACCATGCTATGCTGCCATGTCAGGGACGTGTTTCAGCCTGCAAAAAACGCCCCCACCATATCCAGGCACGGCGTGCTGCATCAATCTCACCCCCATTCCCATGTCTCCCTGTGCAATGCCCTTTCATGCCAGGGACGTGTTTCAACCTGCATACGAATCACCCACCATCTCCAGGCACGGAGTGCTGCAACTGCACTTCTGCACCCCACTACGGTGAATCCCATCCTCATTGCATTCTATTTCTGCACCCATTAGACCCGTCATTACCACCAATTATTTTGTCTATCACACGGGAATCAGCTACCCCTGGTGATGGCCATGGAGGATGGGTCACTGCGAGTCCTCGCCATGCGCACCTCCTCGCTCCCCCACTGTGCTGCTCTTGGCTCCTCTCAGTACTTCCTGCTTTTCATGCCCCTCCAACACCTCATCTCGCAGGGCCATGGTGATGGCCATGGAGGATGGGTCACTGCGAGTCCTTGCCCTGCGCTCCTCCTCCCTCTCCCAGCTCCAGGCACCTTAGGAGTCTCACCTTTCACCTCTCCCTGCCTGTCTCGTTCCTCCATGCCATGGCAGGGCCCTGGTGATGGCCATGGAGGATGGGTCGCTGAGAGTCCTCGCATTGCGCTCCACCTCGTTCTCCCAGCTCCATTCAGCACCTCAGAAGCTGCCTCGCCTCTCAGCTTTTCCCGCTCTCCTCTCTCCCCTATTGCGCCATGGCAGGGCCCTGGTGATGGCCATGGAGGATGGGTCGCTGCGAGTCCTTGCCATGCGCTCCTCGCTCTCCCACCACCCAGCGCTGCCCTCCCCCCTAAACCACCAACAGCAGCAGCTGCAGGGCAGGCAGGAGCACAAGGAGCAAAAGGAGCTCAAGGAGGAGAAGAATCGGAACAACCGGCGGTGGGTTGTGTCGACACTCTCCCTCAGCACAGCTGCAGTGTGGGGCGCCTCTGCCTCTGCTGCCACAGGTACTGCTGCTGCTTGCCTGTAATGCCACAGGTGCTGCTGCTGCTGCCTGTAATGCCACAGGTGCTGCTGCTGCTGCCTGTAATGCCACAGGTGCTGCTGCAAGCCATCTGACGTTATTCTTCCACATTTACTTCTGGTGTTGCTGTTGCCGGTTTGAGCTCCCACTAATGTCAACACGCCCTTCCGTGGTCTCTCACCCGCTCCCTGCCGTCGTGACTCCAGGATGCGTTGCATTCAGTGGTGCAGATGGATCCGTGCGATGCGTTCAGGTACGCGCCTGTGTGCACCTGTGCGGTGTGCACCTGTGCGGTCAGGGTGTTTTTGGGAATGTGCAAAGACTGTGAGCAGCTGTCTCCGCCGTTCTGGTCACATCCTAGTGAGCTATTTGTGCTAATGAACATTCTTGATCATGGATCTGCTCTATGCGTTCCGGATGTTTTTGACAACTCCCAAAAACACTGTGCGGCTGCGTCCGCCGTGGTGTGAGTATACAGTGAGCCTATTTTTGAGTCGATTAAAAAATAGTCTCTCAAAAACAGTGTGTGGCTGCGTCCGCAGTGATGTGAGTGGGTATACAGTAACGGTTGTTCCTGTTATCGCTCTCTGCATGCCATTCCTGTGCATCCCCTCCGATACTTCCTCCCACCGGTTCTCCCCCCCATATCCCATGCCTCCATTCCTCTCCACAGCTAAGCAACAACTTCCTGATTAATCGCCACAGCCGGGATAAGCAAGCCGTGATTACCGTGGGGGGGTTCAAACAGATCCGCCTGCCACTTGCACATTCCAGCACGGAAGCTCCTACAGCTGACACGTCAGTAGATGAGTTCCACGAGCATCGTTTCGTCTTTTTCCGAGGCGAGTCGGGTGAAGGAACGGACGGGGAGGCAGGACAGAAGGGGAAAGGGAAATCGAAGAAGGGACAGAGGGATGGAGGGGAGGTGGAGCTGCAGGAAAAGGGTGATTATGCTCGCAGGGCAGATCATGGTGAGGGAGTGGTGGGTGGCAATGCTTTGGGATGCAAAGCGGTTGCAATGCACAGAGTGGCATGGAATACCAATCCGGGGTTTCAGCATTGGCTGGCAAGTGGGGGTGCTAATGGGGTGCTCCGGTGTCAACTGTTTCGCCTGCCATCAGATTGTTGAAGGCGTTTGAAATGTCAGTGTCCGTATTAACGTTTTATCCATCAGGCCTTGCTGTAAAACAAGACATGAGGTTGTCTAAGTTGATTGCATGCATACTTGTTCTTTTTTTGATTTCCCTATTACCGTATTCCCCCGGACATACCACCCGCCGAAATAGAGCACCCCCCGGGTGGCTTGTGCGGGGGGGGTGCTATAGCGGGCCTCGTTTCTACTATACCCCCCTTTTGGGGCGATCCGGTATAGCACCCGGAGGGGGGGGGGTGTTATGTATGGGTAATATTGCAGTTTTGGCCTAAATAGCACTGGGTTTCCAATGATTAACCATCTACATGTTAGCATCAGCACAAACAAGCTACATCTGACGCAATACAGCGATAACACTCCCATCACACAGTCTTTCCTTCATTCAACAGGGGCCTACTACCATCCAGGCAGAATGCTCTTTACCTACACAGATAAAGCCCTTCCTCCTACTCCTCGTCCCCAGCATGCCATTCCCCAACCTCCTCTCCGTCAAAGCGGTCGGGAAGCCACCAGTCAGAGCCGACCTCGCTCCACTCATCTGCATCCCCATCTTCTCCAGCCCCGTACCCTTCCCCATCTCCGTCTTCCGCCTGGCAGTGGGCCTTGTTGGAGCTTGCAATGTGGCAGCTAACCCTCGAGACTAACGTTATCAGGGAGTCCTCGGTTTTGCGCACCCAACTAACAATCTACCACCACGTGAAACATGTACATTTTGTTTTCAACCTTTTGTGCTATAAAAAAAATCTACATTATGTAAAGACCCGGGTGCAATGTAGCTTTTTCCGATGACAAGACCCCCCCTTTTTTTTGTGTAGTTATCATAACACCCTAGGGTGGTATATGTCAGAAGAACTAGGCAAGAATGATGAACTAGCAGAAGTTTGGGTACAAATATGAAACCCTAATTGGGTTGTACCCCATATTGGCTACCCCACTACAGCCTACAAGCATACTACAGTTTAACACACCCCCATAGGCAAAGTGGGGGAGAACAAAGGGTCACAAGACCAGTCCAGCAAAGCAAAGCAACGCCCAGGGTGGATCACAACGTCACCACACTCCGAGCACAAGTAAAGGCCACAAGGCCAGTTCACATGCAGTGCTAGATATAGTACAAGACAAGCAACACAGTGATCAAAACCTAGCAAGCAAGCAACAAGATATATATAAAGTACAGTACAAAGAATGTCAAGCAGTGAGCAAGTGAGGAAACGTGGACACAAGGCCTAAAGAAGTACAGTGCCGCTGATGATCACTAGGCGGGAGCGCCTTGGTGAAGATATCAGCAGTGTTGGCCTTCGAGTCCACGTACACAAGCCGAAGCTGACCGCGCTGCTGAAGCTCTCGAGCAAGAAAGTAGCGAAGAGCAATGTGCTTCGTCCTGTGCTCCAGTCTGTGCTCCTGACACAAGGCAAGAGCCGCCTTGTTGTCACCGTACAGAACTGGAGGAGAACTAGGCCGCTCTCCCAAGTCAGTCAGCAGGTAGGTGAGCCAGCGTAACTCCTGTGCAGCCATGGCTGTGGCGTAGATCTCAGCCTCACAACTAGAGCCGAGAACAGAGGAAGAGCGGGTGGACCGCCACGAGACAGAACCTGAGCCAAGGCTGAAAGTGTAACCCTGTGACGACCGCTGCGTAGCCAGGTCGTCCACCCAAGAGGCGTCCGAGTGACCAGTGAGGACAACTCTGTCGCGTCCTCCAAGCACCAGCCCCATGCCTGATGTACTGCACAGGTAACGCAGCACCCTCTTAGCAGCCTCCCAGTGCTCTCGCCTGTGTCTCCCAGGCGCAACGTAACGAGCAAGGATGCTAAGAGGGTACGCGAGGTCAGGTCGCGTGCAAGTCATCAGGTACATGAGGCAGCCTACAAGCTCTGGGTACGGGCCACTCGGCTCTACGGACTCGTCCGAAGGTGGAGCTGAGAGCGAGTGGCTGGTAGCCAGAGGTGTGGCCTGTGGTGAGGAGAACTGGAAGCCGAAGCGCTGAAGGACCTGCTGCACCATGTGTGACTGAGTCAGGGTGATGGTGCGGCGAGCTCTGTCCCGGGTGATCTGCAAGCCAAGGTAGCTACGCAGTTCACCCAGGTCAGTGCAGGTGTGTCTCTTCTGCAGCTCCGACTTCACACGAGCGAGTGCCTCAGTGTCAGCAGTAGCAAAGACCAAGTCGTCGACGTACACGAGGATGTAGAACGGCGGCAGCGACGTGTCTGTGCGCAGAAACAGCGACGGGTCAGCAGTAGACGGCGCGAACCCAAGAGCCGCAAGAGTAGTCCTCAGTGTGTCGTGCCACTCACGTGGCGCCTGGCGGAGACCGTAGACTGGCCGGCGGAGACTCCACTGGGTACCAGGGGGAAACGACCCAGTAAAGCCAGGTGGGCGGCGCAGCCAGATCTCCTCGTGCAGGCTGCCCTGCAGGAACGCTGTGCTGAAGTCAAGAGAGTGAAGCTTGAGCAGCAACGTGCAGCAGAACCCGAAGAGTGGTCATCTTCGGGGTGGGGGAGAAGGTCTGGAAGAAGTCGACCCCCTGACGCTGACTGAAGCCTCTAGCAACGTAACGAGCCTTGAAGACAGGCGGAGAACCTGGCGGCCGCTTCACCCTGAAAATCCACATGCCATCGACGATGTTCGCCCCAGGAGGGGGAACCTCGTCGACGTAGGTGCCTGTGGACTTCCAGGATGCCATCTCTGCGTCCATGGCTGTCTGCCACTGAGAGGAGTAGGGACCCGAGATCGCCTCTGCGTAGGTGCGCGGAGTGGGGATGTCTACTGCATCCGGGTCTCCCTCAGGGGCAAGCAACCAGGCCACGAGATGAGGTACAGCAGCCGCAAGTGAGTCAAAGTCCTCCTGCCTGTCCTCAAGGACGTCCGTGCCAAGAGCACACTCACCCCCGACGGACGGAGGACAGACTGACGCAGACTCTGACTCAGCGACAAGGCTAGCAGCGTAGTCTAGACGACAGGCAGCAGCAAAGTCAACCAACTCAGCGACCAGAGCAGACGCAGCCGAGGACTCAAAGGTGGGGTCAGTGACAACAGTAGCAAGGAGACGCGTGACTGTAGGGTGCTCAGCGCGATACCGGTCAGACTCAGGGTCCGGAACGGCAGGCAAAGAGGACGCAGGAGGAGACGGTAGAGGGACACGCCGAGGAGCAGTAGAGGGACGCAGAGTCATGTAGTGAGTGCCTGGGACAGGCGGAGGACGCTCACGACGGACACGACTACTAGTGCGAGCAGGACGAACAGGCGACGCAGGACGAGACTCAGGCTCACGACGCTCTGTAAGACCTCCTGTGGGACCAGTATAAGGAGAGGGAGCAGGGAGAGGCGAGGCAGGCGGTAACTGTGACTGCGGCTGGACTGGCGGAGGACACTCTACGGAGGGAGGAGGACAAGGAGGAGGAGCCTGCCCAAGAACCTGCTGAAGGAGCGGTACGAAGTACGGTCGCGGCCGCGCAGCGTCTCTAGAAGCAGAAGGGACTCCAGCGGCCGGGTCCTCAGCACCAGTAGGAGCTCCAGCGTCCGGGTCCACAGCACCAGCAGCAGCTCCACCGTCCGACTCCTCAGTACCAGCAGCAGCTCCACCAGGTGGGTCCGCAGCACCAGCAGCAGCGCCACCCCCAGAGTCGGGAGCTCCAACTCCGCTAGCACCGCCAACGCCAGAGTCCCCAGCTCCAGCAGCTCCAGTCGCAGCGCTCCCAGAACAGCCAGTCCCGGCAGCTCCAGCACCCCCAGGACGGCGAAAGCGCCGGACGTACCAGTCACGAAGCTGCTGCGGTGTGAGAGACTGCTCAGCACCCCGAACCGGAGCACCCCCAGACACAGTAACCCGAGGCTCCGTAGGCTCAGTAGCAGCACCCCCAGGCTCAGTACCCGCAGGCTCAGTACCCGCAGGCTCAGCACCCCCAGTCGCAGCACCCCCAGGCTCAGCACCCCCAGGCGGCAAACTCTCAGGCACAGTACCCTCAGCTCCAGCACCCTCAGTCCCAGCACCTGCAGCCCCAGCACCCCCAGGCCCAGCACCCCCAGGCTCAGCACCCCCAGGCTCAGCACTCCCAGCAGCACCACCCGCAGCAGCACCTGAGTCACCTGTGACCTCGACAGGCTCAGCGACGGGAGGAGGGTCTACCTGAGAGACACCTGAAGGAGCAGGACCCTGAGGGGGAAGGGGGTCTACCGGAGGGGGACCAGGAGCAAGGAAAAGCGGCGGGGGAGGGAGGGGGGCAGTGCGGTAGGGGAAGAGACGGTAAAAGGGGACCGACTCGTCAAAGGTGACATCCTGAGAGGCGAAGACCCGGCGCGAGGTGGGGTGGTAAAACTGCCAGCCAGGCGCGTCAGGGACAAAGCCAAGGAAGACACAGGGAAGCGTGCGGGAGGAGAGCTTGTCCGCAGACGTATCGCGGACAAGGGCACGAGCACCCCACACCCGGAAGCGCGACGCATCGCCAACCTCCCCCGTCCAACGCAGTGTGGGCGAGGTCTCCGGCAAGGAGACACGGGGCCAGAGGTTGAGCTGATGCGCGGCGTACC